ATTAAGCTGAGAAGGAGTGACTGGCAAAAAGTCACTCACTGCTGGCTAGGAGGAGGCGAGAGCCCAAACCTTCCAGGACCCAGACTGGCACCCTAAGCCAATACACCACACCAGCTTTCATGAGGCTTTGCACTGTGAGGAACATACTGCATGTTAAGGTGCCATGGCCATTGCTTCTGATATCACAGTCAGCCTGCTGAAAATCCAGGCTAGGCTATGCAGAGAGATGAGCTATGACCATGAAACAGATTAAAAGGTGTGCAACTCTGAGGAGTGGCTGGCACAGGAGGGCTGCTTGATTCCTGCTAGGAAGCACGTAACCTCCCGGATGCATAAGAACATCTGCACCAGATTGACCTCTGGCCTGCACTCTGCAGTGGCTTGGAAGTGATGTGCAGCAAACAGCATATCATGTTCTTGGACCTCCCCAAATAGTACAAAGCAGCATTGCCCATTCCTAGCAGCTGCATGAGCTCCTTGGAACATGGAGCTCATTGCAACACTGAGCATGGCAGGGAGGTTGTCCTGCAACTTTAAAATCTTCCATTTCCCCCACAACTAGCTGAAGTGCACATCTATACAGGCAGTGCCTCCTCTCCCCACACCTCTTTCATGGATCTGACATCTCCAAATATTAGCATGGCTTGGACTAGCTGACTCTTCTGCCCTAGGAACTATCGGTCCCATTGCTCCAAGGAGATATTCATTGTCACTTTCAATCATATTACAGCATACAAATAAATGGAGAATATAGATATGAGTGATCTTCACAGCTGGCCATAGGAAATCAGGAAAATACCATCACTTTCAAAGAGCAGTAGTGGTGTTCCTTTGTCAGATATGATGTTTGCTTTTGCCTTGTATTGCAGCTGTTGCTGGGCATAAGGAACCGGAGTGGTGGAGGAAGAAGGAAATTCACCTCATACAAATGAGCTCTCCCTCTTCCTTGCCCTCCTTTGTTTGTTTGTTTGTTTGTTTAATGAAAGAGGGAATGAGACCCTCATGTAATTTTGGGGAAATAGGAACCGCTGCAGTCCACAACTGCTACTCCTCGGCTTGTCGAAAAGGGGCTTGCATTCTTGGGTTGAACAGAGGGGTTCAAGCTTTCTTGCCTCTCGGCCTCCCCAGCAGCACCAGGACCCCTGCCGCACGCACGCACGCACTCACTCACGCACAGCCCGGGGCTTCTCCCCTTGCTGTTCTAAGGAGGCTTCAAGCCCGGAAATGTGCCCCTTGGGAAAGGTGCGAGAGAGTCCCTTGGGTCATGGGCGGCTGTCCTGCCTCTCGCTGCTCCCCCCGCGCCCTTCTCCTCTGCAATACCTGGCCGCTGAGCACCGCTGTGCTTCGGGGGTGGGGGAAGACTGCGCCTCCCTCCGCTCGATCCAGCTCAGCATGACGCGCCAGGCTTCCGAACTCCTTGCCAAGGCTGCCTGGCCCCTTCCCTTGCCTCTTCTTTCCTTCTTTGGGGTTTGATTGCTTTTAAATCTGTCCCCGCGCCTCTTCCAACGGGCCGCTTACGGATCGGACAAAGGTACGCCGACCCGGGTCTCCCACCTAGGACGGGGGCGCGTAGGCGGGGGTGGGGCGCGGGGGCGATGCAAAGGCGGCGGGAGGCGCGCGCTGCCGGCAGAGACGGGGAGGGGGTGCTCCCGCTTTTCTGGGGCTGGGGCTGCTTCCCCGCCCCCACCCCTCCCCCGCCCCGTCCTGAAACCAGATCCGTGTCGCTTTTTTCGTATATGCAGGTTGCAGGGGAAGGAGCATTGAGCTGCAAAAGAGCGCGGGGGCGGGGGCGAGGCGACGATCGCATTTTATTTTGCTGGATTCCACATCTGGAATCGGGGAGACGGAGGCACAGCGGGAGGCCTCCAAGGGCCGGATCTTGCCGGAGGAAGGCTTCTCCGGGCTTTTGCATGAGAGCAGAGAGGAGAGGGAGAGAGTCCGGTCCCGTTGGCCGTGTGAACGAGGGACACCTCCGTGGTCTGACCCACTGCCGGGCGACGCGTATGAGCGCGCGGAGGGCGGCGGCGGCGTGCGCGTGAGCGCGTGTGCGCGTGTCGCCAGGGGCTTGCAGCTGCCGCGTGCGCGTCGTTGTCTCCTGCTCCCTGCAGTCGTGTGAATGCGCGCATCGTCCTTCCTGCGCGGCCGTATCAGGCTCCGGCGCGGGTCTTTGGCCGGCGGAAAACTGGCGGTGCGTGATTCTCTGCTTGTCCTCGCTCAGAGAAAGTCTGTGTGCATGTGTGAGGGTGGCGTTTTCTTTCCTCCCCCCACCCCCGCTTCTGATCCCGGAAAGTCGTGCATGCTGATCGTGTGAATGAGTGCTGAGCTTAGATGCTGTGCGACGCGCGCAACCTTGAGAGGATTTTGTGGCTCGGATCCTTCTGTGTGTGTGTGTGTGTGTGTGTGTGTGTGTGTGTTTGAGAGAGAGAGAAACAAATATTCCACAATGCGGGCTCCAAGTCTCTCTGTCGCTCACTCGCCCGGTTGCCTGCGCGCGTGTGCATGCGTTTTCTTGATCTTTGTCTCCCTGTCCTGCGTTGCGGTGCATGGAGAATAAGCGCAGCGAGTGGGTCTCGCTAGCCTGCTAAGTCTCTCTCCCCGCTCTCTCTGTTGGGGGGGGGGGCGTGTAGAAAAGGCACACGTTCCCATCACGTAGCGAGACAACCCCAGAAGCTGCAGCGCGGAGGAAACGGACCGCCAGAGACCCGTTTGGGGAGCTGGAACTGGCTGAGCGAGGTAAGGGCTGGATGCGGCCAGGAGCCCCCGTCTGTCCGCATGGGGGCTGCTCCCACGGAAAGGGGGGCTCTCATGACTGCGCAGGGGACGATCTCTCCTTTGCGAACAGATTCCCCCCCCCTTTGCAGTCCCCCTCCCCATTTCCTCTCGAGGTTCCCGCGAAGAGGTTTTGTTTGCAGAGCGGGGCTGGGGGGAAGAAGGGGACCCGTGGAACCCCGTATCCTCGCCCCCGAGGAGGGTCGGCCGCCACTCCGTCCCCCCCCCCCGCAGGCAGCCGAAGCAGGCGGGGGGGGCACCGAGGAGAGAGAGCAGGAGAGAAAGGACCCCCCCCCCCGCTCGTTCCGCGAGCCCCGCGGGAGCTGCCCGCACGCCCGAGCCAGGCGATCCGGGAGCGGCGAGTCTGCGTCAAAGCAATGCGGTGGAAGGAAGACGCCGCGAAGGGAGCCGGCCAGATGGGGAGGTGGGTGCCGTGGGGAGGCCCCCGCCGCCAGCCCAGCGCCGCCGGCTTCCTGGTCTCGCAGCAACCGCGCTGCCGAGCCCTCGGTCCGGCCCCCGAGGCCTCTTCCCTCCCCACGGAGATGCCTTGCCCCCCCACCCCCGTGGCAAGCCTCCTCGGGGGCTCCCCCGCTCTTTTCTGCCGTCCTCGTCCCCGAGCTGCCCAGTCCTTGCTCGATCCTTCCCTTCCTTCCCTTCCCTCGGGCCCCCACGCCATCCCACCCACCCGTCCTCCGCTTCGTCTGCCCCGTTCTCCGCCCCTGCTCCTTCTCCCATTTTGACCTCGACCCGAACTCCTCCTTGCGCCCCCTTCTACCTGTTCCCTTCAGACTTTCACAACCTTCACCCTCACCCTCTTCCCAGCAAACACTCCCCCCCGCCCCGTCTTCTGGCCATCGCAATCTCCCCTCCGCATCTTTCTCCCCCTCGGACACTTTAAGGGTCCTTTCTACAGCCTTTCCCTCACAAACTCTCCTTGCTCTCCCGTTTTCTTCTTCCTTTCTCCATCATCTTTCTTCTCCTCCTTGACCCTGAGCCATCTCTTTCACCCCCCTCCCCCGCATCTGTATATTTCTGCTTCTCCTTTATTTTATTCTCTTGCATCCTTGCCCCTGATTTCTATTTTCCTCCAAGATATTCTGGACCTTTGTGGTCTTCTGCTTTCGCAAATCACAAACACTCACACATGTACCCCTCACTGGAGAGAACACATATTAGCTAAATGAGCCAAATATACAACTCAGCTACCTGGTGCCCCAGGGGGTCAGGGAGGCCCACGTGTGGAACCTCAGCATGGGCAGCAGAATGGCAGCTGGACTGAACACTTGTGTGTGCATGTGAACTCTTTTCAAAAGCCATTTCTGGGCAATGCGGGAAGTTGAAGCTAATTCTGCCAGGTGATGCATAGGAAAAGTTGCCAGGCATTTCAGTTAATGTCTCCCCAGTGAATCATGACTTTGTTTAGTCCTACCATTGTCTTTTTGGGACAATAATCGATAATGGTCAATATTGACTTTTATTTACTTTTTTTGCAGTTTACATGGGGGGGGGTGATGATGATCTTGCCTAAATTGATACACACACATACATGTATGCATAACTATCATAGAAAGACGAGTCTATATCAGCAGTTGCTGTATCTATTGGAATCAATGAAGTGCAGCATACATTTAGAATGAGCATTTTATAAGGGCAGTCCGCCGACTTTCCTCCCCAAAAACCTTTCCTTGGTGTCTTTTTGCTTGCAGTTTTGCATTTTGCCCAGATTCTCCTGCTGCCAGTGCACCAGCACCTTTCCCCCTGTTCCCCCAACCTTTGGAATGAATAGTGTGTCGCTTCCACCTACGTAATTCAGATCCTTCCAGCTACGTGCACAATGACCAGCATTTGAAAGGCTAAGCAATGCATTGCAATGGAAATGCTAGTTAGGTGGTTTTAATTTTGTTTCGGTATGCACAGCATCCACAAGGCTGAGATATGTATTCTGAACATGGATAGAGTGTATACGAGAGAAAGAGAGAGAGAGAGAGATGCTATGGATGAATGGGCAGAAAACAGCAAGCTATAATTTCAAATGCAAGATACGTCCATGGCCTATTTGAATTGCTGGTCTCATTCTGCTGTAGCTGTTCTTGCTCAGCAATGGTAGGTTGAAGTGTACCTTTCACCTAAACAGTTGCTGCTGTTGTGCTGCTGTTAAGAGTGGTATTATTTCTAGAATTCTAGCCACTGAAATATGCTCTGGTTTTGTCCACTTTCTCTTGTAGATTATCTGTCTTTGTTCAGGAGCACTAGGTTTGACTGCTGATTCCAAGAAGATGCTCCTCTGGCTCTTTCTGGCGTTGTCTTGCCCAGCCTCCTCTACAGACCCAGAGAATGATTCATCCGTGGAAATTTGCAATGTTTGCTCCTGTGTGTCTGTGGAAAATGTTCTCTATGTCAACTGTGAAAAGGTTGCAGTCTACAGACCGAACCAGCTGAAACCCCCGTGGTCTAATTTCTATCACCTCAATTTTCAGAACAACCTGCTCATCATCCTGTATCCCAATACATTCCTTAACTTCACACACGCGGTGTCCCTGCAGCTGGGCAACAATAAATTACAGAACATTGAGGGAGGAGCTTTCTTGGGCCTCAGTGCATTAAAACAGTTGCACTTGAACAACAATGAATTAAAGATCCTTCGAGCTGACACTTTCCTTGGCATTGAGAACTTGGAGTATCTCCAAGCTGACTATAATTTAATCAAATATATTGAACGGGGAGCCTTCAATAAGCTTCATAAGCTGAAAGTTCTCATCCTTAATGACAATCTGATTTCCTTCCTTCCTGATAATATTTTCCGTTTTGCTTCTCTAACCCACCTGGATATACGTGGGAACAGAATACAGAAGCTGCCCTACATTGGAGTTCTGGAGCACATTGGGCGCATTGTGGAGCTGCAGCTGGAAGACAATCCCTGGAATTGCACTTGTGATCTGTTGCCCTTAAAGGCGTGGTTAGAGAACATGCCGTACAACATCTACATCGGAGAAGCCATCTGCGAGACGCCGAGCGATTTGTATGGGAGGCTGTTGAAGGAGACCAACAAGCAAGAGCTGTGCTCCATGGGGACGGGGAGCGATTTTGACGTGCGCATCCTGCCTCCGTCGCAACTGGAGCCCGGCTCCAGCACGCCCCATGGCCACACAACACAAATGTCGGTGCACAGATTGGTAACAAAGCCCCCCAAAACAACGAATCCATCCAAGATCTCTGGGATAGTTGCAGGCAAATCTCTCTCAAACCGCAACCTCAGCCAGATCACATCTTTTCAGACCAGAGTGCCACCTCTGACACCCTGCCCACATCCCTGCGTTTGCAAAACTCATCCTTCCGATTTGGGATTAAGCGTCAATTGCCAAGAGAGAAATATCCAGTCGCTGTCCGAACTTGTCCCTAAGCCACTAAATGCCAAGAAATTGCATGTAAATGGCAATTATATTAAGGACGTGGACACTTCTGACTTCACAGAGTTTGAAGGGCTGGATTTGCTCCATCTCGGCAGCAATCTGATTGTGGCCATCAAAGGGGAGGTTTTTCGCAACCTTACCAATTTACGGAGATTGTATCTCAACGGCAATCAGATGGAGCGGCTGAGCCCCGAGATGTTTGCCGGGCTCCACAACCTTCAGTACCTGTATTTGGAATACAATGTCATCCGAGAAATTTTAGCGGGCACGTTTGACTTGATGCCAAACTTGCAGCTGCTCTACTTGAACAACAACCTGCTGCGAAGTCTTCCAGCCTACATTTTCGCTGGTGCGCCACTGGCTCGCCTGAACCTGAGAAACAACCATTTCATGTACCTGCCTGTAAGTGGCGTGCTTGATCACTTGAAGTCCCTGACACAGATAGATCTGGAAGGGAATCCATGGGACTGCACTTGCGATTTGGTTGCTCTGAAGCTGTGGCTGGAAAAGCTAAGCGAAGGCATTGTCGTGAAGGAATTAAAATGTGAGACGCCTGTGCAGTTTGCGAACATTGAGCTGAAGTCCCTGAAAAACGAGATCCTCTGCCCCAAGCTTTTGAAGTCTGCATTTTTCACCAGCCCTGCTCCCGTGGTTATACTGACAACCCCCTTGGGCCCCATCCGGAGCCCCCCAGGTGGTCCAGTTCCATTGTCTATCCTCATCCTAAGCATCTTGGTCGTGCTCATTTTAACTGTCTTTGTGGCTTTCTGCCTCCTTGTCTTCGTTCTCCGGCGCAACAAGAAACCATCTGTGAAACACGAAGGGCTTGGGAATCCAGAGTGCAGTTCCATGCAGCTGCAGCTACGGAAGCACGATCACATGTCAAACAAAAAGGACGCCCTGGGGGCAGAGGCCTTCATTCCTCAAACAATCGAGCACATGAGCAAAAGCCACTCATGCGGCTTAAAGGAAACGGAAACAGGTTTCACATTTGCCGAGCCGCCGGGGCAGAAAGTTATCCTGAGAAATAACAGCGAGAAGGATAAAGATTTATTGCACATGGATACCAGGAAAAGACTTAGCACAATTGATGAACTAGATGAATTATTCCCAGGACGGGATTCTAATGTATTTATTCAGAATTTTCTTGAAAGTAAAAAGGAATACAACAGTATAGGGGTCAGTGGCTTTGAAATACGGTATCCAGAGAAACAGCAAGACAGAAAGAATAAGAAATCTTTAATAGGGGGCAATCATAGTAAAATAGTAGTGGAGCAAAGAAAGAGTGAATATTTTGAACTGAAAGCTAAACTTCAGGGCTCACCAGACTACTTACAAGTCCTTGAAGAGCAAACGGCTTTGAATAAAATCTAGGTCATGCAATCTTATTTCCTACAGAGGACAATATATTTAACGATGCAAGTGCCTTTTGTTGACTTTTAATTTCCAAATATGATATTCTACTGGTAGGCATAGAGGCAGGTGATCCAAGGGTGTGTGATAAAACTCTAGCTCCCAATAGATTTTATTTCACGCAGCTCTTGCCCTGTGGAATCCCGTAAGGAATACTGCAAAACTCTATTGCCAAAGTGTTGCTTTATACACATATTACACTGAATTTAACCTCAAGAGGCATATATGTTTTGTACCCTAATTGCAAAACTTTCATCTCCTTGTGATTTGTTAAAGCAAATGCACAAGAAGAAAAAGGAAAGAGAGGGCGAGGAAAAGGAACTGGTGTTGGTGTGCCACAGCTGAACCATCTGCTACCCATAGATTGACACTGATGGAGGAGGACCTGAAGTCCTTATGGTGTGAGTGCTGGTGTAAGCAGCGCTGCTTTAAAGATTACCTGAGAAGTTTTTACAAAAACACAAAAAAAGCATGCAAAAGAAAGAACATTCGATAGTACGTGTAAAATTGGTTACCTTTATGGCCTGCATCTTGAAACCGCTGGATTTATAATGTTAAATTGTGCAGAAACCTTTGTTTAAAATATGCATTGCATTCCTCCAGATCAATTTGACCGTCAGACGCATACCATGAATTGGCATAAAACTGAACCAACCAATCCATGACAATGGTGAGCAAAAGAAAAATTGCAGCATTCACAGTGATTGGAAGAAAATACTTGATGTAAGACTAATCTATGGCTTTTCAACTCCTGTTAACCCATTCTCAGTGACGTGAAACTCCTTTCAACCCCCAAAGGTTGTCCAAAATTTTCAAAAATTTGCTTGCTATGTGAGCGTTCAGAAATTATTTTTGTAATATAATTCATATTTATGAAATACTTTGTATACTAAATAGGGAAAATTATGTACTCCTCAATATGTATTTAAATATGCCTGATTTGTTTTCCTGGTCACAAAGGTGCATTAATCATTCAGTATAATTTAAAAAGAAAAAAGAAAAAAGAAACAGAATATACCAAACAGAAACTGTTGATGAAATGTATAGATTTATTTGAAAGTCAGTGTGATCAGGTTTAAGAATAAGAATAAAATTATGTTCTGTACTTCTCTTGTGAAATTAGTAGGTTATCTTATTTTAAATTTGTCCTGTTATAGTCACCCATTTTTATGATAATTTGTTTTGCTTTTGGTAGAACTTGTGCATTTGTTTATCCATAGTCATGTTGAAACTTCTGTTCTCAATAGGTTTTTCTTGTTGCTCAAGTCCATACAGGTGGTAAGGAGTCAGCTAAAACATGCTGGCAACTGATGGTGTTTCGCTGTGTTTTTAATTGCAATAGAGCCATTGTACAAGTATATATTGGTGGAACACTGAAGCAGTGCTTGGTGTAACCAAAGTGAAGAGCCTTCGTAAAAGAAGCTCTTCAAATCTCAAATAAAATGAAGCTAAACAGAATGAAGATGTGTCTCTGAGGACGAGAGATACAGAAAAGTGGAACAGAGGAAAATCTGCCAAACAAACAGAAATAAACATTGGCTAACATAGTTACAGAGATCTGTCATCTTGTGGTTAAGATGGATTGCATAAATATAAGCAATTCTCTTGGTGTGGAGATGTTGGCTTTCTTCAGTGGGCAAAGATTAGTAGCAGAAAGGGGTGATAAAGAGATGACGTAAAGTGGAGTTATGGAGAAACATAAAAAAGTAGAACTAAATATAGGTAACAGGTCTGCAAGCTTAAAGCATTAACATCCCCATTTATAGCAACAAAATGAGTAGTTGAGAAGTGCTGCATTTCAAAAGAAAGCTTTAGCCAAGATTTTAGGTTCTGTCTCCTCTTGCAGCAGCCCCAGGTGGAAACCCAAGCCAATAGTTTAGACTCTTATGATGCTGCTGTCTCCTACTCATTAATGATGGCTTGGATTTTCCAGTCCCTGCTAATCTGTGGGCAGAATGCCTTCCCTATTTTTGTGCTTTGAAGAGGGTGTCTTAAAATGCATATAAGAGTTGCAGTTTTCTAGGTTTCTGTCTTGTTTTTAACAATCAGATCTCTAAGCACGAAGATCTAAGATTGGGGGTACATTTTGATTGTAATAGATAATGTATCTATGTGCATGTACAGGAGCATTAAGGTACCTTACTGCAGTGCCCAGCCTGTGCACTGCAGCTGCTGAGGTATATTTTGAGCTGCTGATGACTGATTTGGGGAAAATTGCATATTTTGACTGTAATGTACATGTAAAGATGTTAGCTTCAGCATTAAAGCATGAAGCAGCAATGGGCACCCATTGTATATCTACACCAGGGTTCTGGTTGGAATTTAAAGGAGCTATCTATGCTAGTGAACCTAGTCTGGATCTAACACCATGGACAATTCATTTAAGATTCAGGCTGAAGCCAGGGAAGATAATTTTATTGACCTTGGAGGCACTGCTAGAAGAGAGGGAAGTCTGTCTGGCCTTTGATACGGTGGAGGCTAGTCTCCAGTTTTTGTGGCCCTGTTGTGTGGTTTCACTCTGTGGAGTCAGCAATGTTCAATGGTCTCTAATGGTAAACACTCCAGCTGTTATCCTAGCAACCATGTGCTGGTGCAGGCTCTCTGCTGTGCTCCTTGAGTGTGAATCAAGTTTGACTTGTATGGCGGAGCATCCTAGTTTGCTAAGATGGGGGCTGCACGAGCAATACACAGCTGGGGTCCCCCTCCCAGAAGTTCATGGAGGCTTCCAATGATGCCATCCGTCAGTGACCACAATCCCCCAGGCCTGAGCAAACACTCAGTGCATAGGCAGTAAAACTGTTTCTAGGAATCAGAGTGTAGGGGGTAGGTGAATTATAAGACTGTGCATGCTGTCATAAATTTCCTGCACATAAGAAACTAGATGCTGGGGGTGGGGAACCTTTTCCAGGGCTTTTAATCTGGTAAGTGCAAGGATCTCCCTGCTTCAACAGGGTTTCCAGTGCAGAGAATGTATTAGAATTCAGGGCAGCTTTCCTCCAATGTTTGTTTGAGCCAGACCTCGGGCATGATCCTGCGCATGGATGCTGACATGATCTGGCAGACCCCTTAGCATCCCCTGTTCTTGCTGAGCTGAGCTGCAATCCATCCATAAGGCTAAGAGAAAGAGAATTTTCCCAGCAACTGTGTATTTTGTACAAAGATTTTTTCATGTGGAGAACTTTGCATGCAAAGGGCCTGTGTTAATGCAAATAATTTTGCATGGTTGGGGCTTGGATGGGCAATTAAGACACATGAGCTTTGTAGTGGACCCGTCCCAGCTGCAGGTGATGCTTTGGTTTGTTTCTGTTGGCTTGCTTTTCGATTTGGATTTTGGGTTTGTTTGTTTGTTTGTTCCGATGTTGATCAGTACAGCTTCTTGTGATCCTTTTGGGTTGTCCTTGGGCTCCTGGCTGTGTGGATTGCAATGACAGGAAACTTAATATTTATCACTGCATTACTGATTGTACATGGACAGTACGTGGACAGGGTGGCTCAAGTGCATTGAAGTCCTTCCATGGGCAGAAACCACACAGGTGAAGAAACCTGTGAGCTGGTGACCCTTCCCTGAAAGTACCACATTGCAGAAACCTCGGGGGATGGTATGGATTGAACCCTGAAGGGAAATGCATGAAATAGGCAGTCCTGGCTCTGAGGGAGGGGGAGGGTGGCCCACCCCAAATATCTTGCTCCAGGATGCCTGCCCCAGCCCGGGCCAAGACCACGTTGCAGAAAGGACTTTAAAGTGTATGAACCTGGCCCCATTCATGGCCTGATTCACACGTACACAGAATATCCACCACCTCCATTGCCCAGTGTGCATCCTGAGGACATCCCCTGCTCCTCAGTGTGCAGTGACGCTCTTTGATGTAGATATTCCAGGGATGGTCTTTGATCTGTGATGGGACTTCACACCGAAAAATCAGTACTTGGAGGGGCCGGCATCAAGGGATGAGCTGCTTGCATGCATTCCCATTAAATCGGTCTTATGTGCAAGCGTTGCACTGCGTGTCTTTGCAGGGTAGAGGGTCTTGCACAAACGGCATTCATTCCAGCTGGTTTTTGGTATGTCCTGCGATATTTTTTCTTCACTTTTCTGTATCGTTTGAAATCTGATTGTGAGGAGGGGTGTGGTGAAATCTGATGATGAAATAGATGAAATGCATCCCATCAATTTGTAAATGTGTATTGCTGAGTAGAAATATTAGGGAGATAGGCATCTTATAGAATGGGGGAGGAGAAAAGCATCTTTTTTGATCTGCAGCGAAGAGATGATACCTTAAACAAAACGATTGCAACAGGCAAAGCAATTCAAACAGAAAATCCATCACTTTAGGCTTGAGGGAACCCTGGTGCCACCCGCTGCTTTTCTATCATTGATTTCAATGGATTTCGGTGTCGGCTTTGTCACTGGGCCTGCATAATATCTGCTTTTACTGTAACTCCTGGAATAAATGGGTTGGATCCAGGATCTGCCCTCTCCTTTTCCATTATGTAAATATTAGCAAAAATCTGAGCACTGGGAATTTGGAGATTTGACAACTCTATCATAGGTGTCTTCTGAACCTGGAAGCAGATTTTTAGTGGCAGGAGAAAGACAATGTAGAAAGTAGCTCAGGTTGCCTTTCTCTTTCTGTATCAAAGAGCTCAAGAAAACACAGAGGAAGGTTCTTCAACCTGGTTCTCAGGGATTTCCTTCTTCCCCCACGTAACAACTCGCCCCATTCAGTAAGGTCCCCAGTCCAGACCCACTAGGCTGCATTTTCAAGCAACCAGAGGCAACAGGAAAATTCATCTGCAGCACCCCTTGCATTGCATGCATGCAAATCCGGATCCATCCCATAGATAGCTATTGATCTGGTTGTGAGAAGGAAAAGGGAAAAAAACCCCACACTTTAATGCAGTTCATGAATTTCAAGCAGCAAATATACCAGCAAAGGCTGAAAGCACTGCAGGTTAGGGGA